GAACAAAATGAGAGACTCAGTGGCCTTCCCTCCACACCCACCAGAATGGCCACAGTGAAGGAGGAAGACAATGATGAGTGTTAGCTGCTGATGTAGGAGCAGGAACTCGAACTGCTGGTGGGAATGGGAAGTACTGGGCCACCTTGGAAAATGGCCTAATGGGTCCTCATGAAAGGTGTCACCCTGCGGATCATCTACTTTTCCCTGTGACACAATCCCTGAGAGAAAGCCACTAAACTGAGGGGTGGGGCATTTGGGCTCACTCTTTGAGGAGACACAATCCATCATGGTGGAGAAACATGACCACAGGACCAGCTCACAGTGGCAGTGGGAGCCCACTGCGCCTGCTCACACCACCAGGGATCAGAAAACGATGGGGACCGGTAGTGGAGCTGGATTATAATCCTCAAGGCCCTCTCCCTAGTCTCCTACCTCCTCCAGAAAGACTCCACCCCTGAGGGTTCCACAAACTCCCCAAACAGCACCACCAGCCAGGGACCAAATATCCAGCACAGAAGCCTGGGTAGGGGTGGGGGTGGGGTGCACTGCTCATTAAAGCCATAACTTTGTGCAACCCCGTGACTCGGCTCCTAGCTGTAGATCCAAGAGAACGGACACCCCAGAAACTCAAGATCTTGTGTGTCAGTTTTCAGACCACCATTATCCATAATAATGAAAAGGTGGAAACAACCAAAATATTCAGTAATTGCTGGAGAACCAACAGAATCTGCTATGGCTACATAATAAACACATCCGACTACACACTCTATGCACCTCGGACATGATGCCAGGCCAGAGAACACAGCTAAAAGGCCCTATGCTTGGTGTGGTTCCAGTTCATGTCTAGAGTTTAGAGATGGAAAGTGGGCTCGTGTCTGTGAGGGGCTTGTGAGGGAGGAAGGGCAACAGATGTGGACCGAATGTTCTGGCATTAAACAAGGTGGCAATACCCATGGCTGTAACAACCCTCACCCACAGAACGGCATACTTAGAATAGAGAAAGCTTACCCGGTAATCCAGGCCTGGACAGTTCCTGGAAGTGCATGTAGGTCAGTCCTGCAATGGTCACGGTATCCTACTCTGAGAAGTGGGTGGGGGATGTGGGGTTTGTACATGCATGTGTGGAGGGGAGGAGTCTATACATCCTATTTTGTGTGGAGCCAACAGGGAATGCTTCCTAGAGGAGGGGATAGCGAAGGGACCATATTCGGCACACTCTGTGGCAAGGCCTATGGTCACCAGGCCAATGGTTCATCTCTGGACTTGTCCTCTTTCCCAGACTCACGGATACCCAGAGGGGACTCACATCTATCTCCTCGGGGATGACAAGCCAGCCTTTATGTTTCTGCAGTGTTGGGGATGGAACCCACAACCTTGCACATGCTGGACAAGCCACTCTGAGCCCTGGCTCAGCCTGAGTGAGACCTCTGACTTCCTGACTCTGCCTTCCTCTGTTGGCTTAAGCGGCTCGTTCCAAGTGATGACTTTCTGTTGTGAACTTAAATCAGCAAATTAACATTGGCGAATAGGCTTTGGTTATGAATTTTAATGTCTTCCATTCATTCGCAGTCCAAACAAATTAGATATCTGGTGCTTTATTTAATACGTTTATTGCCATTTTATTATAGTCATTGGCAATGAGACAACATAAAATATTAATTTAAAGGAGCAATCACACAGATTATCTCTTAAAGTGGCGTGCACGGAATGTATTCAAAGGCATCTGACGCTGCTTGCTGTTCCCTAAAGAGATAACGAAGTGGGCTTTTCTGCGTGGGTTGGAGTGGATCATGGTGGTAACGCAGACTAGGCAAGTGCTCCACCACCAAGCTGCACCCCAGCTCTGTTTGTCTGATGGACAGATTGTCAAGAGCAGTAACTGGCCCTGGGAAGGAGTAACTAGCAGTGTGACAGTTCCAGCAGTGTCCTGTGCGCTGACTCTATGTGGGAACACCCTGCACGTGCTCAGGTCACAAGACCAAAGGTGTCCCTGGTGACTTGGTTGCATAGCTGTTTGCTTAGGAATGAAACACCCTCTCCTGGAAAGGGGAGGAAGTGGGAAGAAGGAGGAGGGTTCCCAAGGCCCGTGACTTCACCAGAAACTTACAAGTTTCTGTGGCTTGTATAAGGTTATGTAAACAGTGAACACGGCTGGGAAGGGGATACTCTTGGAGATTTCTACAGAACCCACAGGTGCTCCAGGGATCTGGCCTGGGACATCACCCATAATGGCTGTGGGGCTTCTCAAGGATGCAGTCGCCTGAGTCACCTGTGCTCCCATGAGTGATCCCATCGACGCTTTGGTCTGCAGACTAGACTTGGACAGAACCTCCTCTTTAGTCTGTCGATCTCTCCCATCTGAGGTGAACAAAAATGGCCTCCTCCAGAGCTGGAGGGACAACTCAGCAGCTACGGGCACCACCCACTCTTCTAGAGGACCCAGGTTTAATTCCCATCACCCGCCTGCCATCTCGCAACCATCTGTAACCCTGGCTCCAGGGGAACCGATGCACTCTGCTGGTCTCCATGGAGACCAGGCACATACATGGTGCACACACACAGGCAAAACACCCATACACGTACAACAAAACAAAAACCAAGTCTTCCCCCAGGAAGTCAGTCACACAGTAGAGCTGAGAGATCGATGACAGCCACCAGCAGTTTCCTGTGCACATCGCTCAGACGCACATTGTACAAACCTGTCCATGACACTTGTTTTTTTCAAGCGGTTGCGTGTGCACATGTGTGCTGATGAGTGAGTGTGAGGTGTGGCTAAGGACAACCTGGGGTGTCATTTTTCACTGTACACGCCAATTAGACCGGGCCAGCCGGCCAGTGAACTCCAGGTATGTCTCTGCCTCCACAGTGTTGGGATCACAAGCGCACAGCCCACCATGGTATATGGTGAAATACATACAGTGTGCTCTGGCAACGGGGCAAGCGCTCCAGGCCCCATTTTTTTGTTTTTGTTTTTGTAGATGAGGAGACAGAGGTGGCCCTGCTGGAGCCTCTACACTACACTAAGGAACTCTGAGTGGCAGAGCCACTGGGGACAGCAGCAGCAGAACCATGGAGGAAGGATGGGCACAGAGAAGCCCCAAAAACATGGTGAAAACTATCACCAGATAGCCTGGGTCTCCCAGGGACACACTCTCACTAGCGACACCTAGAGGGACTCATGTTTGCTGCAAGTACCTGCCCTGCCCTGTCATTGGGGTGGCAGCCAGGGGCGTCTATAATGTGTGGACCACCAAGGAGCCGCAGCAGCATGCATTCACAATCCACGAACAGGAAAACACTCTTCAGTGGCGAGTTTGTGCTCCAGTTTGAGGGCCAACTATTTCACCATTTTCTCTCTGAGAGTGTGTGTCTGGGTGGGGAGGCACCGTATGGTCCAGTAGGAGCAGTCACAGATGCTATTCATACAGGATGTAGCCGTGCACTCATTCCACCCAGAGTGGGTTCAGCAGATTGTGCCATCATGGCAGAAAGCTGATCAGGGACACACACATAGGGAGTCACAATCCCCTTGATAATACCCCAAGATGCTCCCCTTCTCCCCTGCAGGCTCGCCCTCCTCCGTGCACTAGGGTCACCACTGGTACCTCTGCCTTGCTCAGGGAACACTGCTTCATCCTTGCTGACAGGTACAGAACCACATTGACAGCTGCCCCACCACCGCCTACTGCTTCCCAGTGGCTGTGATGACTATTTAGCTTAAAACGACCCTCTGAATTGCCTTACAGTTCAAGTCTAAAACAGGTGTGGGGCTGGTACCTGGAGTCTTCAGGGACACATTCTGCTTTTCCATAGCCTCTTGCTTATAGAACCCAAGGGCTGCCCTAGGCTCACCAAGGTGGCCCAGAGAGCCTCCATCTCAAGTCTTTAATCACATTTGCAAAGTCCTTCTAAGAAGCCATGTACAGTCACTGGTTCTAGGGGTTAGGACGTGACATGCACTGGGCATACCTTGCCTTCCATGCATGCCCTCTGCATCATAGGCCAGGAGAGCATGCAGATGGGTCTTACCCCAGAGCCCATAGGAGGGCATGAGGAACTCTATCCTGATGATTCAGGAAGGATAGGGGCAAATTTAAACCCCACCAGACTTCCTTTTAACTCTTCCCAGGTTCCCAAGTCTGCATGGACCTTAAAGACATCCAGTTTTAAGTAAAAAAACAAATCTCATGCAAGTTTCTGACACAAAGCGATTGACGACGTGAAACACCCAGCAGGTCTCAGGTACCTGCAGTGCAGCAGGCCCAGTTCTTCCTGAGAGCACAGTGTGGGTGATCTGATCACCTGGAGGGGCTGGAGAGATGGCTCAGAGGTTAAGAGCACTGGCTGCTTTTCCAAAGGACCTGGGTTCAATTCCCAGCACCCACACTGCAGCACACAACTGTCTGTAACTCCAGTTCTAGGGGATCTGACACCTTCACAGACATACATGCAAGCAAAACCCTAATGTACAATAAATAAATACATTAAAAAAAATGCCTTAGGTTTTCATTGGCCAGGTCTACTAACAGGACAAGAGACCCAAAGAGGGACAAACTTCCAACCCAGAGGGTGAGGCATATAGGAACCTGGATTAGAGCTAGGCTAAGATGCCTGTGTGGTTGGGCACCAGGGAAAGCTTCTGGAGGAGGGGCCCCAGGTGAGTGGGAATGAAGCTGACCTGGTAAACAGGTAAGGTAAGATGGCAGACTCACTAACAGTCAAAGTCCAGGAGCACATCTCATTTGGGAAGTGAGAGGAGGGGTCCTAGCCAGAGTCCTGAAGGGCAGGGAACCAGAACTGAAGCGTGACCAGAAAGCTCTCCTCTTCTGCCCACACAGAGCAGTGGGCAGTCAGCCTCAGTGGGCACTTGGCTGAGTGACTGACTAACTCCTGGAGAGTTAAGCTTAGCCACTGCTGGCACAGGCTGGGGCAACCCCCCAGGACACAGAGGGGTGCTAGTGTCCAAGGAAGCAGAGCAGCCTCCACCCTCCACCACTTACTATTGTAGGCTGACTCCAAACTGCTGGGTGGGCAGAGGTGGCCGAGGGGGCGGAGTCTTGGTGGGAGGGGGCAATTGGCCTTTGTGTAGGTTTTGCAGCTTCTCATCATACCTGTGGACACAAAGGGAGAGTGTCACCTCACAAGGGGACAGCCTTTTGGTCATGGAAGCCATCTCCAATTGCCATGTGTGGATCAGGCTTTGATCAATATTAATGGGAAACCCACATATCCTATGTCTCCTGTCTAAGTTCAGACATCTTGGGCAGGGTGCCGCACCCTCGGAGAGAAGGGAAGGGCTCAGAGTCAGACCAAGCTCAGGAGCCCCGCTGGAGCTGGCATGCCTGGCACAGGCCTGAAGCCGGGTCTGCTCTATCATTGAAACCCTGCTTGCCACAGACACTCAGTGAGACTTTCAGCACTAGCTGTCTTCCGGAGTCCCTACGCTTGCCACCCCTGGTTCATTTCATTCTATACACGGCTCACCGGCTCACCAGGGAATCTCTTTCATATCCGGCTCAGAAGCAGAACTGCAAACCTGTGCCTCGACGTGTTTTTAATCAGTTTTGCAACGGCAGTGAGAAGAGCCTCCCACCCACATGCACCCCTCACGGCTTGGTCTCCTGCGCATGTGCGTGGATAGTAGACCCCGGAGCGGTGCCTGGGGATGGCGAGGCACTCACCGTACTACTTCTGGGGGGATGAGCAGTTGGTCGCACTGAAGGTGCTCTCGGAGCTCACGCAGGCTGCTGCAGTAGGTGACCTTTTTCCCAAACTTGTGACTAAGGAAAGAAAAATAATAAAATAATGAGATGAGTGAGAAAGGGCTGCAGGGGTTGGGGTGCCACACAGGAAACAGGCCATGCGCCGAGACCCGGGGGGGGGGGGGCTAAAGGTACTGGAGCCTCGCCTGTATAAAATGATTATGGGTCTTCAGTTTGAACTGGCTGCGAATTTACACAGAGCAGACAGCTCAGGAGACCCTTTCTGTATGGAGTGGATGGACATGCCTTAGTTTCTTTCCCTGTCATGTGATAAATACTCAGACAGAAGCAGCCAAAGGGGAGGTTTCTGTTAGCTCAAAGTCCAGCCCATTGTGGCAGTAAAGTCAACGCAGCAGGAGCTGGAGCAGCCGCTCACAGCATGTCCGGGCCAGAAGAGAATGCACACATGCACGCGTGGTACTGCCCAGTTCCTCCTCTCCCAGGATCCCCTGCCCAGGGAATGGTCCCATCCACAGGAGGCAGGTTATCCACATCAGTTAATAAGATAATCCCTCACAGGCGTGCCCAGAGGATGGATACCTTGCTCAGCCTAGATATAGTAGGGAGGGCCAAAGCAATGTGCCTTACCCTCTCTGAGGAGTGGATGGGGGTGGGTAGGGAGGGAAGGTGGAGGAAATGGGAGGAGGAGGGGGAGTGGGAACTGGGATTGGTATGTGAAATGAGAAGAGGTAGTTTTAAGAAATAAATAAAAGAAAAATTTTTTTAATAAAAGGTTCTCCAACTTTCCACTGTCCAAACAAAACAAGACCTCAGGGATCGTGATAGATGGTGCACCCTTGTGAGCAGAGTACAATTCTGGGTCCTGTGCCAACTCTAGCTTAAACCAGTTCCCACACCCCAAGGGAGGCCAAGGCCTGTGCACTGGCTCCCTCTCGTGGTCAAGAGTGGATTGGTCCTGGAGGTCAGATTTCAGTCACAAGCAAGGCAGTTAGTTTCCCAGACTGCAAGGGTGCTATCAGGGACCCTGTACTGTTGAAGAGAGAAGGCTCTGGACCCTGGGGAGGGGCTTGGGGCAGGCCTTGTGGGATGTCCTGACCTGTGCATCCAAATAGCAAACAACTCAGGGACAGCCTGGCCTCTGCTCCGAGGACACTGCAGGTTCCTCTGGGGTATGAAGTGTTGTAAATGCTTGCTGTGTGGACAAGAGGAGCCACTGAGCTTGGCTATCTTGTGGAATTGTCCAGACAGTGATGTCTGCTTCAGCACTGTGGGGTCCTCCCATGCCACTCCTGCCCACTCAGGAGCCGCACACCACCTTCCTCTGTGCAGGTGCCCAATGACTCCTGCAAGGGAGTCACCCACTGGGCAAGTAGACACGACCCATATGGCCTTCCACACTGGGGAAAGGGCCTTGGGCAGCTCGGTCAGGAATCCCAGCACAGGCACGGGACAGGTTCCCATGAGAGACTTCAGCTTCCAGGAGAGACTGAGTCAGGATGACTCTCAGGATCTAGCCTGAGCCTGTGAGGGTCCACCCCTCTTCCTGTGTTATGGCTTCCCTCTGTTGTTGGATCCCAGTCCTGAGTCCTTTACTGGCTGTGTGACCTGGGGAAGCTGTGTCACCTCTTCAGGCACTAACCTCCCCTGTTTCGAAGTAGAGAAGTCATGGCTGACAACGTAAGATGGTTTTGGTGTGTTCCATAAGGTGAATAGATGATTCAACCCCAAAAGGATAGCTTAAAACATTCTAGAAAAAAATCAGGCAGGGTGTGGTGCATACCACCTTCCGTAGAATACCAGGGCTGTGGAGAGGAAGGCTGAGCTGCAGGGCAGCTGGAAGTGAGGGATGAGGCTTGAGGCCGGAAGTGCTGCAGCTCTACCCTGGAGCCATTGGTGATGATGATGATGTGTGTATGTGTATGTGTGTATGTGTGTGTATAGGTGTGCGCATTTGTGTGTGCACAAATGAGCATGCACATGGGAGTGAGAATGCATGACATAAGCATGTGTGTGCACACGCACATATAAGTGCAGGCAGACGTTCAATAGCATGTAGTAGTGGGCCCTGGGGCCCTCACATATAGGTGGGTGGTCCACAGGCAGCGTAAATGAAGGACCCAGCGTAAATGAAGCAGCTTAAAATGGCTCCAGTGTACCCCCAACAGGTCCAGTCAGTATGGAAGTCCAGCAGGGGACGAGGCTGCAGCCCCTTGATTCTTGCAGTTCCTAGAGGTGCCTGTGTCCCTTGTTGGGGGACGCCTGTCTCTATCTTCAAAGCCAGCAGTGCAGCATCTTTGAACTTCTTTCCCGACACTGCTGGGAAAGGCTGTCCATTAAGGAGCCCAGAGAACACCCGGAGCTCAGGGGAACATCCCGCATTGTCTTCTGTTTAAATCCCTTGCCTTAATCTCATCTACATAGCTCCTGTACCGTGGAACGTGACATAGTTGACATGCTGGGACCCAAGTGCAGAGACCTCTAGGGTCATACATGGACCAGTGGAAAAGGGTCTGCAGGCTGCAAAGACTGATGCCAACTGTGTCCTGAAGGCTGCGTGTGGTGACAGAGGCTCGAGGACACAGCAAAGTGAGATACACAGCTTGGGCCTCAAGGAGGCAGATAGGAGACGGGAGGGCAGGAGAAATAGAGATTTCCATGTAGTCGGTGGGTTGGGCTGCCATGCTGAAGTCAGAGGAGAAACGGGAACATAGAGAGTGGATGCAATGCCTGATGCCTGACTGTCTCTGTCCTGCTCTCTCTCCTATACATGAGGCACAACATGAACCTCCTGTGTGGCCGTGGGCTTGAGAGAGTGAAGTGCGTTATTAGTAACAGGCCTCTGCAGCACTGTAGGGAGAAGTGGTGGAAGGAGGTGACGGGGACATGATGGAAGAGGAGGAAGCAGCAAAGGATTTTGAGGGCTGTGTCCAGCAAAGGGTGACAATCCCTCATGTGTGTGCCCTCCCTGCACTAAAATGCTCCTTCTAAAAACCCTCCTGAATCCTCCTGACTGACCAGGAAGGACACTGCCACCTCCATTCTGGATGTGCTACCTCACCTGAGTGTCCCAACCTGCCCCATGCAAATACTGAGCCCTCATGAATGAAGCTCACCCACTCACCATGCGACTGAGTGCAGCTTGTGCCTGATGCTTGCGGCTAAATGGAGAAGGTGCCCATGGAGCCCTGGCAGAGCCAAGTCTTATGATCCCCTGGAACTCTTCCTAATACTGCCCAGAGAAATCATTGTCCAGGGAGAAAGAGTCCAGACATCCTGGAAAGAGCTAACAGAAGTTCCCAAATTTCTGGGCTGTTTGCCTAGGTACAGGCAGCTAGCCCGTGGGCTTGGGGCCCCCATCCTGAGCTTCCAGGAAAGTCTGTGCCTTCACCTGCTCCAGAGAGGAAGCCTGGAACATAGCCATGAGCCAAAACACAGAGTTCATACCAGCAGACAGTTGAGGCAGAACCTCACTGGGTGGTCTGTCTGTACCCAGAGGGAGTGGCTGAGGCCAGTCATACCCAGAGTGAATGGAGACAGAGTCACGGAGGGCAGTTGTGGAGTGTCCGCACCTACAGGACCAACCCTAAAAAAAACATCTGGGCATAGAACCCTAAGAAAACATCTGGGCACAGAACACAGCCAAGATTCCTGCTGCAGGGGACAGGCTATCCCAGATCATGTCCCAAAGACACAAGATGGAAGCCCTGTGCCTGTGTCCCAGGCTCTGCATCTACATAGTTACCCTGCTGGGTACACTGGAGCCCTTCCTGGGCTTTGTGAACTTGATGGTGATCTTGGGGACCAAGATATAGATGCAAAATATGGACATTCGGGTCATGGGATATTTAATGTCATCATTAAGTGTGACATCAATGTCATGGGCCAGTGTTCCTGTCCACAACCTGAGTCCCAGTGCATGACCTGGGTGGTCATGTGACCCCAGGAGAACCCATGTATGCCTCAGAGACAGACCTACATGGAGCCCTCCTTAGAGGTGTGCCTCAGAGATGGTGGCCTGAGAGTCTACCAGGCGCAAGCTCACCTGATGAGGGGCTTGAAGATGTTCCACAAGGCTTTGATGAAGTTGGTGGGGTGCACAACATAGAGCGCCTTCAGGTTCTTCTTGTACCTGAGGAGGAAAAGGTGAGGTGATGTCAGTGCCCCCAACTCCAGCATGTTCCACACTGAGTACCTGCACAGCAGGCCCAAACCTCAAAAACTCCATTCCTCAACAGGCTCAGCTAAAGGATGTGGATTAAAACCCAGAAAGAACTGTGGGGAGGGGGTGCATGCCTCTAATTCCAGCACTTGAGAGGCAGAGGCAGGTGGGGCTCTGTGAGTTTGAGGCCAGCTTGGTCTGTGTAGAGAGTTCCAGGCCATCCAGGGCTACATAGTGAGGCTCTCTCAAAAACAAAACAAAATCAGAGACCGGAAGAGGAAGGGACTGGAGAGATGGTTGGTTCAGTTGGTCAAGTGCCTGGGAACCCCAGAACCCATATAAGAAATGTTGGGCAGGTGGTGGCAGGTGCTCGTAATCTCAGTGCTAAGGAGGCAGAGGCAGGAGGATCCTAGCAGCCAGCCCAGCTACAAGGAAAGTTCTAAGACAATGAGGGACCCCATCTCAACAACCAGAGTGGATGGTGCCTAAGAAAGAATGACCGGCTGAGGTTAACCTCTGGCTTGCACACATGCACACACACACACATGTGCACTCACACACACACACACACACCATAGAAGGTATTTAAATTCAGAACACTGATCCCTTGGCCCGGGCCCATCCACTGCATAGTTAACCCTGCCTGTGTATGAGGTGATGTGTGTGGAGTAGAGCCCGTGGCCATGAATGCTCTCGCAGATGCTGGGTGGAGGGCATGGAGCATAGTCTTAACCAAGGATGACCTGGTTGCAGCGTTCAGAATTAAACCTGCCCACAGGGCTCGCCAACAGTGACATCTTGTGGGTAGTGTGCATAAGGTCATGGTGGGCGGGGGAGGATTTACTCCAGAGATCATTATGAGGGGTTGTTAAACTGCAACAGTCCACCGCAGGAAGCCGGGACTGGCTGAGAGGTTGGGGCTGAGTGTGACTTAGGTCATTTGGAGCAGGGATCAAAGTTCAGACAAAGAAAGTATCTAAGCGGAGGGCTGAAGTGGCCTGGTATGGGATACCAGAACAGAGTGGGTAAGGACATCTGGAGGTGAGGGAGCCAGGCTGGAAGAGGAGAGGCTGGACCAGGGAGATGTAAGATGGGAGCTGGAGAGAGAGTGCAGAGGAGAGGGTGCAGGGCTCCTGTGAACCCACACTGTCAACTCATGAGGCTGACCAGCAATGTGACAACCCAAAGGAGCAAAGGCAACAGGGCCTCTAAAAACACAGACCTCAGAAAGGAGGCGGCATCCTGGGAGGAATGCCAGGTTTCAGGGCTGAGGTGAAAGGAAGCCTGGAAAGACTGAAGGGTGAGTTGGGACCCTTAGCCAGGCTGAGGCGCAACAGTGAAGGCAAATCGGCGTCGCGTGAGCAATAAATCCTAAAAGGAAGTCCCCACTCCAAACTGCGGTCATAAGACAGGCTTCAAGAAATCTGCTGTAGTAGAATTCCAGAATGTGCTTCACCCCCTCTATGTGCCCTGGAGCTCAGAGGTCACAGAAACAGGTCACTTCACTCATCTTTCCCTGCAACCGGGAGGGTCAGAAGGTCACAAAAACAGGCAATCCAACTGATCTACCTCACAGTTTCGAGAAACAGCTTATCAGGGAAAAAAAACAATACTCGCAATTTCTGGGACTTGAAAAGTCAGCCCCCACCCCCTGACTCTCTACAAAAACTGATTTTCGAGAAACCCTGTCTCAAAACAAAACAAAACAAAAAACAAGTGATTCTCAGATTCTTTATAGTGCAGTCTCCTGTACCCTAGACTAAGCCACAGGCCTGAGGACGCCGGCCTCTTAGACCAGCAAATCTGCTCTTGTCATTTCGAGGTCCAAGTGAGTCTGTTCTGTCATTTTCCTTTCACTGACTTTTTTCTTACATGTACCCCGCTAAATGACATAAGTCGCGTGTCCTGTTGATGTAAGCAAGAGGAGAGGAGGGGCACACCCTACACGTCAGTGCAGACCTATGCTGCATCCCCACCCAGCCCCTCAGCGCTGAGACGCTGAGTACAGGCAGCACAAAGATTTGGTGCTACAGCCGCTTGGCCTCAGGGGATCAGCCAAGAGCCTCTCTTGGATCCTGTCTCAAAACCTATGGCTGCTAGGCAGGGGAGCCTGGAGCTACCCCACACCCACTAAGGAGGCAGCTGAGCTTACTAGAAGTCTTGAACAGGACAAGCGGCCCAGGAATCAGGTTGTCTAAGGAAAGGACAGGTAGCAGGTGTGGCCTGGCCTGAGGGTGATGCCTAAGAGGGGAAACAGGTGGGATTCCTCTAGGGTATAACAGAGTCTCTACCAGCGCAAATCAGAGCTGGAGTTGCAGTTGCAGGACAGAGGGCTTGCTACCCTCCACAAATCACTTTGCTGGATAGTTTTGGTGCTCCTTGTTTTGTCTCTATGAAGCCAACATAGACAGTCCTATCCCTGCCCCCACTACCTTTTCCTAGAGAGTGGGAAAATCTTTGATGATTTGTTTGGTTTGGGTCTTATTCTTGAAACACGGTCAAATGTAGCCCAGCCTCAAACTCACATAGCCCAGGACGACCTTGAACTCTGGTCCTCCTGCCACCACCTCTAGAGGGCTGGGATTACAAGCATGCCCCGCCATATCCAGCTGAGAGTGGGATAGAAAACACTAGAGTTCAGTTCCCCAGTCCACAGCCATGTCTTCCATCCACCCCTGTTTGGCGCTACTGACCCAGGTTAAAAGAGCAGGAAACAGGCAGTCGGCAAGGACTTCGTCCCTGCTGGTGCACAGTTATACTCTCTCTTGCCCTTCAGCGTGAGTGTGATGTCTGTTCACACTGGACATTGGGTGGCCCCCAGCCTCTATTGCAGACGTCACCACTCCAAAACCACTGGCCTGCTAGGCATGGTGGCACATTCCTTTAATTCCAGCACTTGGGACACAGAGATTTAGTCTACATAGAGCATTCCAGGCGGCGGGGCTATCCAGTGAGAAGCTGTTTCAAAAAACAAACATAAATCACCACCGTTGGCTCAGATGCCAACCTCCCAGCTACATTATACACTTCTGCCTCCAGCAACAGGCCAGAAGTATTGCGATTCTGTAGCCTTCTCCCAGATGGACTCTCTCCATGACTAAATGAGACACCAGCATCTATCTGGCCCACTGCAGAGCCCATGACCCTTCCACCATTCAGTCTCGCGTGCAGCCCGCTCTGTGCCCCCTTCCCCCTCAAAGGTGCCTTGTACGCACTTGCGGTCAAACTCCTTGTAGGCATTCTGGAGCCAGCCCAGGGATGGTTTGTTCTGGCTGCTGAGGCCGTAGTGAAAGTAGACAATAGTATAGTCATTCTCCACATGCTGGTCCAGCGTGTACTTCAGATACCTGAGGGGCACAAGATACAGGGTTCCTTTAGGACAGTCACTCGCTCTACACTGAGTTACTGACGTCCATGAAACAGAAGCCACGGTCAGTCAGCAGGTGCCAGGAGCAGGCCATGCTCAGGTCATATCAAGAACCATGTGGAGACTCTATGTCCTTGTTCCTTAGGTGACACTTGAGGTTCAGAGGCATGATCTCACTGACCCAAAGTCATACAGCAAGGAGACAAGACATCACCCCAAAGAAATCCACAGGAAAGCCTCAGAAACTGTGACTGCCCCATGTTTGGAAGAAAGGTACTTGTGGATGAATCTGGGGTGTTAAGAGAAGGGTGGATGTTGGACCTGCCAGGATGGCTTTTAGGAAAACTCATAGAGATGCAAATTCAGGCCTAAGCCCCTACATGGGTCCCTAGTAAAGGTCCTTGGAGAGACAACCTCCATGAACCCAGAAGGTCAGTGCCCACAGCTCAGTTGGCTAAGAGTTGGAATCAAGCCAACGTCCACCATTCTACCGCTGCTGGTGAAGCCATGGTAGTTGTGGTGGGGGGAATCTCCCCAGATGGCTCTGGAATGGATTCAGAAGACCCTGAGCTTAGCGTGTTTCCAAATCCACACAGGGAATTGAGACCAAGATGGCCACACTGGGAGGCTGCTGCATGAGGCAGAGAGTAGGGGAACACTTACTCCAGCAGGCGCTGGTGGTTGAGCTGGTGCGAGGGTGGCAAGCGGCAGCAACTGAACGTGAAGATGCGCCTCCCCTGGCGATCATCCCCTGGAGGGATGGAGAGAGGTGTGACTAGGAGTTAGGATGCATGAGGCTGGGGCTTGGCAGCTGATATCCAAGGGAGGTATGTGATGTGCCCATTTTCTGAGAAAACCTTCCGACTGTCCATCACTCCATTTATCAGATGGAGCACTGGGGTTGCCAGGTTACCTCATCAGTGCCAGGTCCCATCAGCTGGCAGCCCGTGGGTTTAACTTTAGCGTCATTTGACTTCAAGTACTCCAACCTAGCTGACTCCTCACTGTGCCCCTCAGTGTTTTCCTAGGACTCTGAGTCTTGGACAAGGCCAGAGAGTACAGGGAGCAGTTGCCTCTGGACAGGACAGGACCACACATCAGTACAGGGGACCATGCTTGCTATTTCTTGCATTGTGGAGGTCAAGTCACCTTGTGTTGTGACCAGTTCTCAATACACAAGACAGCCACGAGGCCTCAAGGACAAAGGCATCCTGAGGACTGGCAACGGCCACTGAATCTAGAGCTCCAGCCTCCTTGTACCCAGGACAGGGAACAGTCTTCAGCTTTAGAGAGAGAGTACACACAGCTCTGTTGGCTAGGGAGGAAAAAGTTGGTCCTAGCATATGAATGGTGCTGGTGGCAGCCATGGTACCTTGGTGACAGGAGCCTTTTCAGATGACTCTCAAGTGGACTTGAAGGCCAGTCCCTGAGCCCAGGCACACGGTAGCACTTGGTGATCACACAGCCTCTCTCCAGAGGACAGGTAGCTGCTGGGGTCCCAAATGTTGCATCTGCTACTCCTTAGGCCATGGCTGGACCTTCCTTCTCTCTATATGGAACCCGGAGTGTACAGTGGAAGGCAGGATCGGGACTAGCAACATGTTATACTGGGGAACAGCAGCCTGGAGCCACAGCCCCTGCCCGCTGGATCCTCGGGGCTTTATCCACAACTCTGCCTTAGAGACATAGGAAGAAAATGAGGGGCTGAGCCAGCTCTGGCCTGCACACTGTGTTACAGGTAAACACAGGGCACAGGTGAGCACAATTGGGACGTGTGCTGAGGACAACATGCGACAATTGGTTCTTTCCTTCCACGAATGTGGGACCCACAAACTCAGCCTTGATGCTAGGCACCTTGCCCCACTGAGCCATCTCAACAGTACCCACCCTCCCCTTGAAACGAGGCCAGAATATGTAGCCCAGGTTGGCCTGGAATGGGAGATCCTCCTGAGTCAGGATAAAAAGAAAAAGTAAAGGAGACAGAGGAAGGGACAGACGACCTCTGCCTGGAATCTGCCTGGAGTCCTTCTTGATGACTCTTGGCTCAACACAGACAAAAGGGCTGATCGTGCAAAGATGTGTTTTCTAAAGGCTTCTTAAAACACAGACCTGAAGCCAATGGGCTGCGCTTGTTTAGGAAAGAAATGCTGTGGCCTTGAGTTTTGCTGAGTCAGCACTCCTCTCTCATCCCTAAACTTAAGCCATGCAATCCATAAATCCACCTCACTACGACATTCACAAAAGAAATGAAAAGAAATAAGGTAACAAGGTTATTAAAACCAACTAAATTAGTTTATGTTATGTTGTAGAGTGTACAGGTGTTTGTCTGCATGTATGTCTGTATGTCATGTGTCACGCAGGCCAGAAGAGGGCATCCGATCCCCTGGAAATGGAGTTACAATTGGTTGTGAGCTGCCATGTGTGTGCTGAGAATCAAACTCCCGACCTCTGCAGGAGTAGACAGTGCTCTTAGCCACTGAGTGAGTCATCTTTCCAGGCCCTAAAATTTTACATTTTAAAACTTCAATAGTTAAGCTTCCCATATTTTTGTGTGTGTTGTAGAATGTGCACACAGTCTTGTGTGTGTTGAAGAGTATATAAATATTCCTGGGTATGTGTGTGTTGTAGAGTATATACATATTCCTGTGTGTGTTGTAGAGTGTACATATTCTTCTGTGTGTGTGTGTGTGTGTGTGTGTTGTAGAGTGTATACATATTCTTGTGTGTGTGTGTGTGTGTGCGCGCGTGCGTGTTGTAGGGCGGGTACATATTCCTGTGTGTATAGGTAGAGGCTGTGTTGATGTCAGGCATCTTCCTCAGTCTCCACCTTGTTTCTTGAGACGGGCTGTGTCACTAAGCCTGGAGCTCATTGATTCCACAGGAGCAGCTGGTCAGGGAGCCCGGGGATCATTGTCTGCACCTGCCCAGTGCTGGAATTACAGAGGCGTGTCCTTCTGCCAGGCTTTTTACAGGGGCTCTGGGGGAATGACCTCGGGTGCTCCAGCTTGTGTGGTAAGACCTTTCCCGTCTGAGTCCTCATCTCCCCAGCTCCTTTAACTTTGCCTCATCTTTCAGCCTCGTTGTGTGTGACATTATTTGAACAATGTAGCTTCTAAAGGCACAGAATCATAAACACAACCGCTGAAACTAGAGATATGGTTCAGCAGGTAGGAGTGCTTACTGCTCTTGTAGAGGACCCTGACTTGGTTTCCAGCACATGAATCAGGTAGCTCAAAACTGCCCGTGTTTCCAGTTCCAGGATCCTGTGCCCTCTGGCTTCTGTGGGCACCCGCATGCACGTGGCACACATACAGGCAACCATTGTAAAGACGCATCAGGGACTCGGGTGTGTGCTGCCCCTTTCCTGAGAGCCTTTCCCTACATGCTCAATAGACTCGCTACCTTGAGGGCTGGAGAGATGGCAGCTTCTGAAGGGGACCCAGGCTCGATTCCCAGCACCCACATAATGGCTCACAATCATCTATAACTCCAGTTCCGGAGGATCCGACACCCTCTTCTGGCCTCCAAAGCACCAGGCAAGCATGTGGTGCACAGACATACATGCAGACAAAACACCCACACACATAACATAAGACAAACAAAACCTTGCTAACTTGATTAATTCTGAATTGTTCTTTTTTTTTTTTTGGGTGAGGGGGGTTCAACATAAGGTTTCTCTGTTAACAGCCCTGGCTGTCCTGGAACTCACTATGTAGACCAGTCTGGCCTTGAACTTACAGAGATTCACTTGCTTCTGCCTCCTGAGTGCTAGGATTAAAGGCATATGCCACCACAGCCTGGCTTGAATTGTTCTGAAATTTTTATTTTTTTTTTATTCTTTTTTATTTACATCCTGAAATTCTTTTCTGCAGTGCAGTCAAGGACCCAGCTTAGCTGAGTGTAGTGGTGAACCCTTTAATCCCAGCAGTTGGGAGGCAAAGGCAAGAGGATCTCTGAGTCTAAAGCCAGCCTGATCTACAGAGTGAGTTCCAAGACAGCCAGAGCTACATAGAGAGTCACTGTCTTGAAAAAAAAAAAAAAAAAAAAAAAAAAAACAAACAAAAAAGACCAGCTTTACTCTAGTAGAGATTCCAAAGAGAAGAAACCTGGCAGTGTTGGGCTGCTTCTCTCCAGAACCGCTGACCTGCCGACCTCAGTCTCTAAACACTAGAACTGCAGACATGGCCACCACATCTGACTTTCATTCCATAGAAGGCATCCTTCTGTCCTAGCCCTGGATGTCACCCCTCCTGATTCCCCCAACATCCAAACTCACCTGTCCTTTTAATCAAGCTATTGCCCCTTGACCCACACAGTGTGCCCACATCTGTGAACACACCACCCGTGCACACAGAGAGAAGACAGACTGTTGTAGATTTATTATTTTAAGGTGTGTTACATTTGCTTATGCTCTGGAATATTTGTTTAACAATGTAAAGATGCGTAGCTTTTGTCTGTGCTGCATTTGTTTAACTCTGTGAAGTTGTGATTCTTTGCCTGTCTAAAACACCTGATGGTCTAATTAGTAAAGAGCTGACTGGCCAATAGCAAGGCAGGAGAAAGGGTAGGCGGGGCTGCCAGATAGAGGGTATAAATAGAAAGAGACTGAGGAGGGAGGAGCAAGAGAGAACACAGAGAGGAGGCCATCAGAGGCCAGATACCCAGCTACTCAGCCAACCATGGAGTAAGAGTGAAAGTTAAGTTATACAGAAGTAAGAATAGGAAAAAGCCCAGAGGCAAAAGGTAGTCAGAGATAATTTACAGTTAAGAAAAGCTGACTATAAACAAGCCAAGCAAAGGCCAGGTGTTTACAATTAAGATTAAGCCTCTGTGAGCGATTTATTTGGGAGCTGAGTGGTGGACCCCTCCAAAAAACAAAGAGCCAGGAAAAAAAAAAAGAGTACAAAAAACAACATTTTGGCACCCAATGTGGGCCTAGAGTGAAGGAAAATCCAGCAACAATAGGCAGTGTTTGTGGAATCATGGTGTGTGAAAGGCTGCCGGCTGCCATGGGCATCTGGTTCTCTTGGGTATTGGCCACACACGCTGTAGACCCAGTAGTGACACCTGGTGAGACGCAACCATCTTGGATTGGGTGGTCACGGCATTTCCATCACACTGGGCAGTGCTGCCCTTGAGTAGACATCTGGGTAGACTTCAGGGAAAGTAGTTATGGAGGGAGCTTTGGGTTGAACACTGTTCCTTTCCTCCCAAAGCAACTCATGACTTCCTAGAGTCTCAAATGTGACCTTGTTTACAAATAGGGTCATCACAGATTTAATTAGGTTAAAGTTCAAAAGAGGACCATCCCGGATTTAGAACAAAGAGGAGACACTGATCTAGGAAAGGACACAGCCATGGACCACAGGAGGTGGGGAGTGCAGTGAGAGCCAAATGTCAAGAGGTCAAAGGAATGCCAGAACCCCAGATGCTGGGGACACTGGGGTGAATTTTCCCAGAGCCTCCAGGAGTAACCAGGCCACCTACACCTTGGATTCTCATTTCTGAACCCCAGAATCATGAGAGTGAATGTCTGCTGTCTGAAACTCGGTTCTAGCACTTCTAGCGTTACCTGTCGCTTGGATCCATAACCTTACTTAGTTTCTCTGTATTCGGGAGAGTCTTAGGAAACAGAGCTTGGTGGAGGGAAATGGATTCATTTATAGTTTGCACAGACCGTGGAGAGAAATAATTCAATTTATTGCATCCACAACTGTCTTCCAATGTATAGGAATCCATGGGATAGAGGCCAGAGCTATGCAAACAGAGCTATGACGTGGCTTAGCTGTCCTCTCCTGGGGGAAGCCACTGCCCCTCGAGCTGTCTCCATATCCGTTCTCAGAATGAAGGGCACACGTGTCTCTATTAGAACTGAGAAGGTCTCTTCTGTCCCACAGCCTTTCTCATCTATAGCAGGAACCATGGCACAGGACAAAGGTAGTCCTTGCTGCTCACCAGACTTCAGCATCAGTCTGCAAGTCTCACACACAAGCCTGGGTCCCACAGAACAGCCGCCACCTGTGGCTCCTGCCATCTCCTTGGCTTGCCTTGTATGAGAGACCTGCTGCCCTTTCTCCTCCCTGCATCCCCATGCCCCCACCTGTGATGTCCAGGCTCCTCAGCGCCACCTTTTTTCCTTGTTTGTGGCCTCTTCTTCCTCCCACCTTTGCCTGGCCCCATCCTACAGGCCTCTGGGGGCCCAGCAGGCTGGATGTGCACAGTCCTCGTTCATCCCTGACAAGTCTGAAGAGACCCCCTCCAGCACCCTTGAGGGATCCCGCCTTTTCTGCAGGTCCAATCATGGTTGACTGCTTGCCTGAAGAACGGGACCCAAAAGACAACAAGGCTCTCTTTGTCTTGACTCACTTGTGCTGTAAAGAAGTGTTTACAGCCATGCTCAGGGCTCCCTCCCCTGCTTCCCCAAACGTGAGGCAGAGACGGAAGGATGCATGCCCGGAAAGGGAATGAACCAGAATATGCCGGAATCACAAGTGCTGACTGCATGGGCCTGGGTGGGCTCCTAATTCTCACCTCTGCAGCTGGGAAGCTGTTTGGTATGTACAACACCACACCATCCTTCCTCTGGGGAGCTCCAGAGTCTGGGATGTTTAAGATTCTAGAACAATCTGCTTGTAAATACAGCATCCATTCATCTTCCCGTCCTTAAGAACTTTGGCCAGGCCGCTGCCTGTTTAGAGCTCCGTATTCTAACCCACCACACAGTCCCCTCCCTTGTCCAGCAGGGGCTCTGGGCATGACACTAGAAAACAGCGAGGTTTCCAAACTGGGTCCTCTTGCCTGGGCCACTGGCTTCCAAAGGCAACTGCAGCCTGTGCTGAGGGCCACTGATCCCTCGGTTCTAAGTTACATCGGCTGCTTGAAAAGACACAGCGATTAAATGGTGAAAGAGAAAGTTAAGTTGGCGCTGCAAGGTCAGAAACCCAAGAGGCATTCCCCAAGACTGAGTCAAACCAGATCCGCCAGGCCACAGCATCAGTCTACAGGTCTCTCCACACACACAAAGCCTGGGTCCTACAGAAGAGCGGCTGCCTGTGGCTCCCACCCTCCTCTGCTTCCCTCTGACCTCTCTGTCCTGCAGCCCTCATGCCGTCATCCGTGAGGTCCAGGATCCTCAGCGCCATCTTCTTGTTTGTGGCCTCTTCCTCCTCCCCCCTTTGCCCAATCCAAAGATCAGTTAGTCGCTGCTCACTGAGGGCTACAGCATCTCCGGGCAGGAGAAGCCAGGAGATTTTATTCCTGCAGGAAGGGGATGGGGTATCTCTGCCCGGCCCCAGCAACCACAGAGGGCTATCCCCCGCTGCTCCAAATGGGTTCCCACACTCCTCAGAAGGCAGGAGACACTCCAGAGCACACACACACTGTCCTCCTCTCCTTTTCCCTCCCTGCCTCCCTCTATCTCTTAAGCCATACACCGCCTTATGAGGCTGTGAGCGTTGCATCTGCATTCACGACACCAGTCGCTACAAGAAACGTCCCTTCCAACAACACAGACTGGAGCATCACACAGGCTTCAAAATGAGATCAGCTGCAGGAGATGAACACTATCAGTGAGTGCACTTTCCACAGGCCTGAGACTCATCCCCTCCCGGCGGCTCCCCCTGTCTACAGCACAGCCTCACTAGCTGCCTCCCTGTCTCCAGGCCAGAGGGGCCCCATCAGTTGCCCAAAGGAAGGTTTCCCAGAGCTGTCACCCAGAGCAGGCCCATCGTGTTCACCATCTTGTCCGGTGAAACAAAGCAGAGGGTCTGAGGGCTCTACTCAAGGGGTGTGGGAGTTGGTCCATTTGGGCTTTTGTGTTTAGCATTGCTAAGGGTTCCCTCAAAATTGGAGGGAGATGGGAAAACTTGCAAGAGTCCGTCTGTCCTGCAGGAAAGCCCAGAAGGCTGTGCTGTGCTGGGTGGAATGATCGTGACACCTGTCGCCTCAGGTCTGGCATATTCTTCTCTTCCCCTCCACGGCTGCAAGAACCTGCCTCTCGCCTCCTTTCTCTGATATTTAGGTTCAGAACCTTCCCTCTCCCGTCTGTTCCTCCCCACATGATCTCTACTGAGCCCCACCCTGTAGGCCACAGCCTCAGACCCCAAAACATCACTCATTCCATTTGACCACTTAGTGTGCTGAAGTCCCCATGGCTTCTACAGTGCCTTGACTGGCCAAAAGCACCCACTCAGGTGCCATGCCTTTCTTTAGTTACCTTTAACAAGTCTCCAGATTTGGCCATAGGGCCCTGGGAAGGCTGTACTATTCCTTGGTGAGGCCATATCTGGCAGCACCTGGAGGATATAACTGACTCCTAAGGAGTTCTGGAGGGAAGGTGGCCCCTGGTCCAGAACTGCCCTTTAGCCTACTGGAAACTCAGGGGCAAGAGTTAAAGACAGGAGTCATTACTGAATGCTAATGAGGCCCTGGGAGGGGGAAAAGGTGACCTTCTTTGTGGCAAGAATGACCCCAATGGGAGACTGCCCAATGTATCCTACACTAAATGGTCACTGGAAACAGTCATGGTGGACTGAGAGGCCCACCATCCCGCGAGACCCAGAAGACTGTACTGCCCGATCTAGGGACCAGTCGGATGGTTCACATACCTGCCACCTGCAGGATGCCGTGTCTGGCCACGTCATAGAATGGATGATTCGTGCTCAGCGTCGGGTCCTGGCCAGCCATGGACACCACTGAGGGCCCTCCGGTGGCTCCCAGTGTGGCTGTTGCTTCCTTGTCTCTCTGTAGCTCTGCTGGGGATACAGGTTAAAGGGAGTCAGGAGGCAAGCTAGATTAGGGGATCTATGGCTAAGCATTGACGAATCACTCTTAGATGCTATCGAAACACCATTCATAGTCGGCCTTTAGTGTAATGATCCTTTTCCAGGGGTATGTTTGTTATAAACTGAGATGCTGAGAGTCAGATGGAAGCTGACTCCCTCGTCAGCAGTTTTTAGATCCCTTCCCTGGTACCCTTGCTGTTTTGAGTGAATGATTCTTCTCCAAGTAGCCAGCCACGCGTGGCTGCTCTGAACGCTGCACAGGGCCTCGAGGAAGCCCCATGGCAACTACAACTGCTCGCCCTGGAAGCACAGTGCTGTCTCCTAACGCTCTGTTCAGCCACTCCCACTTCAACACCCAGCCCTGGACTTCTGCCACAGTTTGGTCTCCTGAAGCTGTCTAGCCACACCCACTCCAACACCCAGCCATCAGCCTCTGTGCACTGAGTGAACCCGTAACCATTTCTACCCAGATCTGAGGGAGACCCAGCAAAAGGCTGGGACTGGCAGAGTCCCTTGTTTGAATGAAGGCCTGACACAGTTGTTAGAGATGCCCCAGCCAGGCTCCCACAGCCATTGTTCCCGTCTATCTATACGAGTAGGCTATGTGAATGCAGCCCTTTGTGAGTCAGAGGAAGGCAGTTTCCTGTGTTGCCCCCTGGGCCCATTAAAGGCTTCTCTCTGGGGTACATTTCTTGCTCATTTCTGACTACTTTTTCCTCTTCATTTTTTATTAGTTCTTTCATACAGTGTGCTTTGATCACGGCCCCCCTCCCCCCAACTACTCCAAGATCCAATTCTGCTTCTCTCCCCACCCAACTTGTGTCTTCTGTTTCTTTCTCTAAAGCCATAAAAGTCAAATTTGGGCTGCCCATCTATTCTTAGATTTGTGGCCTTCCACTGGAGCGTGGTTCACTTCCAGGGGCTCCATTCTTTATTCTTTTTGTTTTGTTTTTAAAGATTTATCTATTATGTACAGTGTTCTGCCTGCATGTAAGCCTGCAGGCCAGAAGAGGACGCCAGATCTCATTAGAGATGGTTGTGAATTTACGTGTGGTTGCTGGGAATTGAACTCAGGACCTCTGGAAGAGCAGCCAGAACTCTTAACCACTGAGCCATCTCTCCAGCCCCAGGAGTTACATTCTTAAAAACAAAAACAAACAAACAAATCCTGACCCTCCCTCTCCTAGTAACTATCAATTCCCAACAGCTCCTTTACTAGAGACAGGACTTCATGCCTACCTCCCTTCTCCATACTGGGGTCTTTTCTGACTTGGGTTATATGTAGAGTGGATTGAGCAGGTAACAGGAAGAAGGGGAGGTGGTGGCAACAGCAGCCATAGATACAGGAGTACCAATAAGAGGGTGTCTGAAGCTGTGTGTGGTGACTCCTGCCTTTATCTCAGTACTGAGGCAAAGAGGCAGACAGATGCCTATGAATTCAAGGCCAGCCTGATCTATGTAGCAAGTTCCAGGCTGGCCAAGACTATATGTAAGATGCTTTCTCAAAATAAAACAACAAACAGACAAGAATACAGATGAAGATTTCCAGAGACTGCTAAGGCGGAAGCCGTGAAGAACAAATGTGGCAGAGACACGAGCTGCCCAGGTCTGAAGAAGCTGAGGGCTCTGGCTGCTAGGAGAAGCTCCATGGAGCTGTCACGAAGCTCAGAGCTTCAGACCCCCCTGCCTGAGAGCTGTCACACCAGTCACTGTGGAGGGCTGGGATCCTGGCACCCAGGCTTAAGAGCTGTCACACTAGTAAGTGCCACCTGCTGCTGCTGGATGCTGTCTGCTGTCACCACTGGCTGGTGTTAGATGCCAAGTTTTACAACAGCTGCCAAGTGCTGGGGCCCCATGAGGGCTGACCGCCATGGAGAAGGGAACTGAGCATCCCTCAGACACATGCAAACAGAACTTGTCAGGAGCATATGCGGGCCAAGGGAGATGTTCTAGTTATACCCCAAGAAGACTGTGAGGGGAGAAGTAGCCACATCCACTAGAGGCTAGCATTGGGCAGGTGGACCCTTGACATCCCCACAGACCTATAAACTGAGGCCAGTGTGTGTGGGTCTTAAGACACATGTCTGAGAAACAGGGAGACTCAGAGTGTTCTCTGTCTTCAGTTTAGGCAGACTGCTTGAAGAGACCCACCCTCTTAGAATTTCTGTTTTTAAGTAGCTCTTCCAAATGATGAAGAAAGAGCTAAAAAAAAAAAAAAAAGTAGGATCCATAGATGATTCAGGTAGCCATTAAGTCTGACAACCCCAGTTCCATCCCCAGAACCCACTGTGGAAGGACAGAACTTACAAGTTGTCCTCTGATCTCCACATGCAGGTCATGGCATACCTGTGTGTGTTCCCACACACCCAAAAATATCTAAGTAAATAAATGTACTTAAAACTTCTAACAACAATAATTTAAACCATTCTACAGGGTCTGGAAGGATTCCTCGGTGGTTAAGAGCACTGGCTGCTGTTGTAGAGGACCTGGGTTCAGTTCCAGCAGACACCTGTATGTAATTCCAGTTCCAGGGGCGTCGGTGCCCTCTTCCATCCTACAAGGGCACTAGATGCATATGGTACACATATATACATGCAGGCAAAATACTCATGTTTATGAAATTAAAATAAGTCATTTTTTTCTTTATTTTATATTTCTTTGTTTTTGTTTTGTTGTTGTTTTGTTTTTGTTTTGAGACAGAGATTCTCTATGTTGTCCTGGAACCTCACTCTATAGACTAGCTGGCCTCGAACTCACAGATATCTGCTTGCCTCTGCCTCCCAAGTGCTGGGTTAAAGGTGGTCTTCGCCACTACCCAGCTGTTTTAACAAGTCCCAGGCCACCTTTGCAGCACAAAATTTCTGTCCTGTTTTTAAACTCCGTTCTTAAAGCTCTGGTTGACACTTAGAATAATTAGTAAGAACCAAGCTTTAGGGATGGCACAAGTTAGTATTCCTATCCACCCCAAAGAACTTCAGGGCTGAGGATATGGCTCAATGTATATTCATGAGGACCTGAGCTCAGATCCTCCAGAAGCCAAGTTTATTAGCAAAACACAGCAGAATACACCTGCAAGCCCAGCAAGCAGGGAGATGGTCCAGAAGGGGCTCTGGGGCCCATTGGCCAGCCAGTCTAGTGGAATCAACAAGATCTAAGTCTCAGAAAATAAGGTGAAGAGTGACCAAGGAGGACACTGGACATTGACATCTGGCCTCCGCAGATACACAGACAGACAAGGGGGCGGGGTGAGGGAGGGAGAGAATCAAACTTCAGTGCTGTGACTAAAACACAGCAGAGTGTACATCTTCAAATACAGGTGGGAAACTAAAACCGTAACTAGGAGACATCACTACAGACACCACAGCAGCTCTGCATGCAGATAAGCAGGGAGGTTAGACCTCTCTAGGCTAAGGTATGAAACGTGTTAGAACTCACGATACTGACCTGTAAAGGTGAGGCCAGTGTGGGTTGCACAGCAAGACTCTGTCTCAAAACAACGCCCCCTCCCCCCCCCACACACACATGCACACATAATCTTCAGGCTACAGAATATTTAAGAGCAGGAAGCAGAGACTGAGGGGAAGCACCCTTCTCAGCCACAGTGCCCTGGGGAGAAGCTCTGTGTTGCTTCAGTGCAGGCACCAGCCCAGGGTCATGCACAGGTCAGTGCCCAGGGCAGGAAGCCCAGACTCTTGGCTCTGTGCTTCTGCAAGTTCTCTACCGGGTGAGGAGATGTAAGTGAGCTCTCCCTGCTGAAGCCCCCCCCCCCCCCCCCCCGGCATGGGTATTGTTAAACTGGTCACCTTTAGCAGGAGAGTAGGCCATCAGGAGGAATTGCTATAGCTTCTCTTGTGTCAACAGTGACATTTCTAGATTCCTCGTCCAGTTGCCACACACCCTTCCCCCTCCCCATGCTGGTCCTCTACCCTCCCTAAAGGCCTCAGCCATCTGTGCCCCAGGTCAGGACTCTACCGTCATGCTGCTGTGTGGCTTTGGCCTGGAACTTTCCTCCATCTGGGTGAGTGGGAAGATAGGCAGGGTGATTGCTAACTTATTGCCAAGTCCCTAGGGCTGCCAGGGCAAGGCTGGCAGGAGATCCTGAAAGAAAGGCATCCAGAATGGGGGAGGAACAGAGAGGGCAAAGGTCCCAGGAGAGAGAGAGAGCCAGTGTATGATGCCCTAAGGAGACAAGCAGGGAGAGGTCTTGTGTCTCCCATGTATTCCTTCTACAGACCTGCAACAGACAGAGACACACGAATCCTGTAATTCAGGTCACCTACCTCCCTATCCTTCCCTGTGACATTCCTTCCTACTCTAATGTGGACAGCTGAGACACCTCAGCCCTCCTATACTTCACACAAGAGACTTGACCTGTGGCCTCCCCACAGTCTCCCCAAGCCTGCACCGTGTCACCTAACTCTAGATGCTGTGGTTCTGAGCTCGGGAGTCACTGGCCCAGGCCTCAGATGCATACTCGGGATCAGGTTTACTTCCTGGCAGGGCGCAGGACATCAGTGCCAGGGTCCATCAGCTCACCTTCTCTCCAGCACTCCTCAAGTCCAAAATTATCCACGCTGGAGAGCGGCTCACTGGGGACCTCGCTGGTATGGGATGATACCCAGGCTGGGACCCTGCGTCCACACCTAGCAAGGAAAACCTACTACGAAAGCCAGCAAAAGAACTTGGCCCTCAGAGCCCACAGCCCAGGACACGTGTTGCCTGAGGCAGCTGGCCAGGAACCAGTAATGGCTGAGAGGCCAGCCCTCACACTATCCACTGGGTCAAGTAGCTGCACAGAGCCCACAGCCAAGGTCTCTGCAGCAATGATGGCTCCCTTTTCCTCTGTCCTCTGCTTTAGCCAACCAGAATGTGGATCCTTTTGTACAAGAGCAAGCACTTGATCCCCTGGCACAGCCTAGATGCTTTGTTCTAAAGTTTGCATGGTCAGCCCTGCTGTACCATTGGCAGGA